TCGAATTTTTAGAATTTTTGAACAAAAAACTCAAAATTTCAGTTTTTAATTTTTCTATGAGAGATAAAAACTTCTAAACAACTTTTCTAGACTAATTTTGCAACGCCCGACAACTCCTAGTGAGGAGTGAAATCTCGGAATTTGCTTCAATCGTCCGATTAATTCTCGCGCTAAGAATTTACTTTGAAATATAACTTTTCTAGACGTATTTTTAGTTTTCCAACAATTTTTCAATAGTAACCAAACGTGTACATGCACGTTCAAGGCCATTTTTAGACAAATTTTGATTTTAACTGAAATTTTCATAATGAACGCCCCCTCCGATTTTTTTGGTGGCATAGGAAAAATTGTAGCCCATCTAATTTTAAATCGGTAAGGTAATTTTCAAATGTATATTATTTCTTTTTAAAATTATTTTAAAATTAAAGTAAACCAACTCCGACCACGAGCGTATTTTCAGCGCTTGAAACGCACAAAACCTAATGTTTTTATTTGTTCGCCTTTTAATTAAAGAAAAACAAAAAATATTGAGGGCGATCCAAAAGCCTAACCTGGCACGAGCTAAGTTAACCCGCGAGCCAAGTCGACTTGGCCTTTGACTTTAGCTCTCGGTGCCATAGCCAACGCATGGGGAGCCAGAGCTAAACGAGAGCCAGCGGGCCAAGTTAGCTCTGGCCTGGCTCTGGCCGCAAGAGTCAAATCGAAATTCACGAATTCAAAATGGCGGCGCCGCGCGAGGCGGCCGCATTTGGGCGAATTTTTTCGATATCGGCCGCCCCCAGCCATTTTCGGCCGCCGCGGCAAATAAAAACATTAGGTTTTGTGCGTTTCAAGCGCTGAAAATACGCTCATGGTCGGAGTTGGTTTACTTTAATTTAAAAATAATTTTAACAAGAAATAATATACATTTCAATATTACCATATCGATTTAAAATTAGATGGGCTACAATTTTTTCTATAGCATCAAAAATATCGGAGGGGGCGTTCATTATGAAAATTTCGGTTAAAGTCAAAATTTGTCTAAAAATGGCCTTGAACGTGTTTTTACACGTTTGGTTACTATTAAAAATTGTTGGAAAACTAAAAATACGTCTAGAAAAGTTATATTTCAAAGTAAATTCTTAGCGCGAGAATTAATCGGACGATTGAAGCAAATTCCGAGATTTCACTCCTCACTAGGAAACCCAAAATCTAACGTTTTTATTCATTCACCTTTTAATAAAAGAAAAACAAAAAATAATATATTTCTGGAAATCACTATATCGATTCAAAATTAGATGGGCTACATTTTTCTCTATACCTGCAAAAAAATCCAAAGAGGCGTTCATTTCGAAAATTTCAGTCAAAGTCAAAATTTGTCTGAAACTGACCTTAAACGTGTTTGTACACGTTTGGTCAGCATTGAAAAGTTGTCGGGCGTTGCAAAATTAGTCTAGAAAAGTTGTTTAGAAGTTTTTATCTCTCATAGAAAAATTAAAAACTGAAATTTTGAGTTTTTTTTTCAAAAATTCTAAAAATTCGAAAACATTTTTGGGATTTTTTTTAACCACATGGGGGTGGCCTATGGACAGGTGGTTATCATTGAAAAATTTATCGACCCATGTTGTATTTCGATCGGCAGTTTTAGCGCGTCCTCGTATGTATGAAATTCATCATACTCATTTTTATTGTGATATTTTAAAATTTATCAGAGTTCCCAGATTTGCATAAACTAAAGAAAATTTGGGTTGAAAGAGAAGGGAGGCTAGACAGCACCGTGATGAACTTTTGTTTTGGGCTGCAGCGAGCATCTCTTATTATTTCTTTACATTTTGGTCAACCCCCCATCCGCTGGGCCCATTGTTAAGTGTTTTGCTCACAGTTTTGCTGCATGCTTCCTATTCCTATGCAGTTCAGGCAATGCATGGCACTCGCAATAGCCCCAGGTTGCCAAATTTCATCCCCTTTGCGAGAATGCGAGTAAAAAAGAGGCTGCCGAAAAAATCTTCAAAATTCGTTATTCGCCTGCTTTGTGCACAGCTGAGAAGAAAACGCCGATAGCCTGTTAAATATTAAGGTGAGTTTTCAATTTTAATTTGACGTTTAAATCGAGAAAATCAGAAGAAAATAATTTTAAAAAATGCTTAAAAAAAATACAACGCGTTTAATTTGTTTTCAGATGAGCAGCAGCCACCTTAGTACGGCGCCCAGGTACCAACCCTTATAGGCTCTAGCTTCAAAAGTGCGGGGAACAAATATCTAGCAGGTATGTGATTAAAAAATGACTTTTAAATGACTCAAATTAATGTTTGCGTCTCTTTTATGATTTCAGTTGCTGCAAGTGCAAAGGATGCGCCTGCTGGCCAGAAGCAGACGCGCAACAATTTGGTTGAGCAAATCTTTTCAGGATCACATAGGTCCCCCCAAAATGGAGGTAACTGTCTACAAATTTTACAGGTCATTCCTCACGGTTTGAAAGTAAACTCCCTAAAATTTTACCCAAACGTTTTGAAAATTGCGGGTTTTACGGGACATTTTGAAAAATCCAAAAACCTTAAATAACTCGGCTTCCTGTGGTCCTAAAACAAAAATCCGGATAGATTTGAACTCGTCTTGTCAAGCTCTACAACTATTCAGTTGACTCCAAATTTCTAGGTCAAAGTTCAAGGTCACTAATTTTAAAATTAAAATTTCAAATTCAAAATGCTAAGCCAGGATCACGTCAAAACAAAATTTCAAGATAGCCATTCGCATTTCCGTCAAATTTTGTGTAACATATGTAAAAATTGCGCCGTTACTCTTTTTAGTTCAATTTAAAATTAAATAACAATATTAAAAAACGTGGTTTTTTGCGCCCCGAGACGCGCATTCAACACAATTCACGTAAATAACTCGATTTCCATTAGTTTTAGACCATAATTGATAATGACAAATGTTGTTGCCCGTAAAATGACAATTCCAAAAATGTGCATAAAGATGACCTTTGGTGACCTTGCTTCAAAGGTCACCTTGACCTTTGACCCAGGGTGACCAAAACCTGATGTGCGATACATGGTTACAAAGATCTCGTCAAAACAAATATTTTTAACATCATTTTTTTTAATCTACGTCATTTAAAAGTTTATTTAAATCCGAAAAACCCAATTTTTTAGCACACGTCCCATAAAAATTGCATTATAATTAATTAAATATCCATTTAATTACATTCTCCTGTAGCTAGAATCAAAAACTTGATGTTGAAAATATTTGTCTTGACAAGATCTTTGTAACCATGTATCGCATATCAGGTTTTGGTCACCCTGGGTCAAAGATCAAGGTGACCTTTGAAGCAAGGTCACCAAAGGTCATCTTTATGCACATTTTTGAAATTGTCATTTTACGGGCAACAATATTTGTCATTATCAATTATGGTCTAAAACTAATGGAAATCGAGTTATTTACGTGAATTGTGTTGAATGCGCGTCTCGGGGCGCAAAAAACCACGTTTTTTAATATTGTTATTTAATTTTAAATTGAACTAAAAAGAGTAACGGCGCAATTTTTACATATGTTACACAAAATTTGACGGAAATGCGAATGGCTATCTTGAAATTTTGTTTTGACGTGATCCTGGCTTAGCATTTTGAATTTGAAATTTTAATTTTAAAATTAGTGACCTTGAACTTTAACCTAGAAATTTGGAGTCAACTGAATAGTTGTAGAGCTTGACAAGACGAGTTCAAATCTATCCGGATTTTTGTTGTAGGACCACAGGAAGCCGAGTTATTTAGGGTTTTTGGATTCTTCAAAATGTCCCGTAAAACCCGCAATTTTCAAAACTTTTGGGTAAAAATTTAGGGAGTTTACTTTCAAACCGTGAGGAATGACCTGTGAAATTTGTAGACAGTTACCTCCATTTTGGGGGGACCTATGAGATCCTGAAAAGATTTTGCCTCTTTGGGTGAAAAGATTTTACGGCAAGATGACTACGAGTGAGTTCCATTTGAAATTATTGTGATTTTTCTATTTTATTTATTTATTTTTTTTTTTTATTTTTTGTCAATAAATAGTCACCAAAAACGAATTTCCATATATTTTATTACCCGTGACGTCATGAATTAAATGACGTCACTGCTCACCTGAAAGGCTTCGGAAAGCGCTCTGAAAGGTGTCGCTACAAAAGAATGAAGCGTCGCTATGAAAGCGCTCGGAAAGGTTTCGTAAAGGCTTCTCTCAAAACCTTTCCGAAGCCATTAATTTTTCAAAATAGTGGCATGTAAAAGGTTTGTGAATGGCTCCAGCTTCCATTTAAACTACATGAAGTGATAAAGGTTTCTTAAAAGCTATCGAAAGGTTTCAGAAAGGCCATTTAATGGCACACTTTTTTTCCTTGAGCAGTCCAGAAAGAGAAAATGATTTCCTTCTTCCCGAGCGTCCTGCAACTCCGAGGACAAGAAAGAGGCTGACTGCTCCGATTATTGACTCGGACTCTGATTAGCTGTTTTTTGTACATTAAATGAACTTTAATGCAAAGCTTCTCTTTTTTTCCAGCAATGAACCCTTTTTAGATTTTCAAATTATTAGGACACTTATTTTTAGGATACTTGAAATTTAGGACAAATGAAATAAAAAATTTATATGAAACTTTTTTAGGACCTTTGATTTTAGGACAAATAACGGCGACTCCAAAATTTAGCTTTGAGAAAGCTCTCTCTCTCTCTCTCTCTCACTCTCTCTCTTTTTCCATGATTAAAAGAAAATGTTGATTTAACTATCGGTATAGTCGCTCGGTTGCCAGAATTCTATAATTTTATTGTGGCACTCAAATGTATCAAATTACTAAAAAAGGCTAAAAAATATTGGAATTTAAATCATGCATTTGAAAATAAAACTTGTTTTTCCAAATCTGCTCTATCTAATAAAAAGTCTATTATTAATTTCTAACGTCCGCCGAAATTTTTACTTGATTAAATAATAAATAACTGATTTGATGCGAATGTTAAAAAAAAAAAAAATGTAGGCTCAAACCAAACAAACCTAAATGAAGTTGAAACCGCATGCAGCCATAGAGATTTCTTCTTGCTTGAAAAATGCCGAGTGTGTGTGAAAGCTACGGTGAGGCTGACAAGGAAATTAAAATGACAAGAAAAGTCCAAGCTTTTAGATGGGACTTTTCGCAAAGTCTACAAGTTCTCTCAGGACAACCTATAGCACGTAAAAATAAAATTACAAAGAATACAAAAGCAACCTATTGTTTGCTAGAAAAGCGAAATTTCAACTGACGTTTGGTACTTTCAGGGCCCAAGCGGAAAGTCTCACTTCACGAAATTCTACATAATTATCTCGGGGCACGACTTGGGTTTGACTTTCGCTCGAAGCCACATAAAGTAGCTCAGTCGCTACTAAGTCATATCTTTGGATCCTCCAAGATGACTTAAATCAGCTTTTTTAAAAACTATATTGTTATACTTTTAATTTTTTTTGCGTAAATTCTTTATTTAAATTTTATGGATTTTAATTCACTTTTTAAGCAATATCAAGAGGTCATTTTTCTGCGATATAACAGAAAACTAGGAATAAATTATAATTGTGAAAATTATAAAAAAGCTTGAAAAATTATAAATCTTTTAGAGAAATGTGCTGACAATGAGTTAAGGATTTTCGTCACGGCACAAGATGGCTTTAAAAAATTATAATTAATGCGTAAGCTTCATATTCAGCTCTTTTGCGGTATAATTAGTGTTTAATTGATGCATGTGCAACCGTGGATGGGTGGAGTAGAAATATGTACATAAATTATGTACGTGAAATTGTGCAATGTGGAATTAATGCCTCTCGCAATCAGTTTGGCTCGCACTTCCCGAATTTTGTGTTTAAAAGCAGATTTCTAATTTTCAAAGTTTCCCAAACAGATAATCGGTGAAAATAAATTTTGACTTTTCAGTTTTCCGGTTAAAATTTTGCAAAATATATGAAGAAAGAGCAAAAAAGAAAGTCTCACTTCGAATAAGGTCTGGCTCCGAGCTCCGACTGCGTGTGTTGCTGTGCGCAAAATGGTTTTTGCATTTGAGGCCACAAGAGATTGACCTCGAAATATTGATGCGACCTGAGGCAGGTAGAAGAGAGCGGCACCGACGCCACCTGTGCTGAAACAAGGAAGAGGGAAAATTTTAACAATAATAATACAGCATCTGCAGCTGGGCCCCAAATCTCGTTCAACACTTTTGCCTTTGTCAAAATCTTCTTCTCATGTCATGAGCAATCTGCAAGATCCCACAAAATTAAGAAATTTGCATCCTTTTTCGAGGAAAACTTTTGTATAAAAATAGCGCATTTTTATCGGTACATTGTGACGGGCTACATTTTTCCTGTGCACGCTTAAAATTAATGAAATAGTTAATTTTGTAAATATTTCAGTTGAACGTCCAGATGACCTTCAAATGTTCAAATTGGTCAAACAGGTTTTCTGAAATTAATTTATTTATTGTAGTCATTATAACAATGCAAAACATTTTCATATTTTTTTTTTATATTCATTAGATCTGATTTTATGTTCATAAACATTCTTCAAAACCGAATAAGAGATTTATTTCTTAAATAAAGACCGACTACATTCGCTTTCTTTTTCTACCCAGGAGGCAGGAGAATAAGAAAAACTTTTTTATCATGCAGAAAATGTCGGACTGACTTGGAGATAAAAAAAAATACAAAATGAGCTATTTGGTCGACAGCGTAAAAAGCCTAAGGTATATTTTAGGATGAAAATTCAACGGGATGTTCGCGTTTTTCTTCTGTGAGAAAAAGAGAAAAAATTGGGCTCTAAAATAATTCGCCGTCGACTTAATTTTGTAAAAGCGTCAACTTAATTACAAATTCCACATGAAAGTAATTATTAAATTAAAGTATCATTTTTATAATAATCTTTAGCCACTGTTAAATTTTACAGAATGTGACAGAATTTGTTCGATATTGTCATAACATGTATGTAAAATCTTCAGACGAGAATGAACACAATAATAACAAAATCTAGCTGTCACTTTTGGAAAAAGAGAAACTCTCCCTCGTTCCCGAGTTTGCAAATTGATAAGGAGTTTGAAGTTGTATTTGAAAGTTGCTTTAAATTCTCAAACTATGAGTCATTTAAAATTGCCATATAAATAGAAATAATAATAAAAAAATTACACTCTTTCATGGAAATTTATTATTATTGTTGTTTATGTATCCAAATTGTTGCATCACATTTAAATTCAATTTAAAATCAGCTCATCAGTAACAAAAACAGTATGAAAAAGATCCTGATTTAAAAAAAAAATGTACAGTTTCTCTCGTTCGCTTCAAATTTAGTTGTTAAAATAAGTGTTTTGAAGAAACCGTGAAACTAAAAGCGCTTGAGACAAAAACAAAAACTCACCACGATGGGAAGCTGCAACCCTGAGTTTTCTGTTCACTTGAAATTGCAGAGCTTGAGCGAAAATGTTGACGACCGAAAGTGAGACCTTGATTTTTCAAAACGACGCTAGAAAGTCTACGTCATATATGAAAAAGCCTTTCTCATTTGAGAATTTATAGCTTAGTTGCAAATAGTTGTTCTTGTGTTCACAGAGGGCAGCATATAATTATAAAAATTCAAATCAATACTCCAAACCTGGGTATTTAGGGGGCAAATTTAAAATTTCAGTTCTCGTTTGATGACCTACGACCTTGCATTTGATACCTAATTTTTAGACGGCCCCCGACGACCGACGCCAACCGCAGTCCTCAAATAAGCGATAAAAAGAAGTTGGCAAAAAAATCAAACAGCAGAGCCTCTTCGCTCTTCCTGCATGCCTAGCTTCAAACTAATTAGTCTTTTTAAGAGGTTTTTACGCGGTTTTACTGAAACTGTGCGAGGCAAAAATTTTGATACTTTCCTCTTTCCTTTCCAACACAAACGAGGCCACTACTCAACACTAATTATAACAGAAGAAACACTCGCACACTAACAAAAATTTGAATAAATTTTCCTTACAAAATATTAAAAAATTTGCGCATATGTAAAAAATTGCTGTTGATTTTCTTTCAAAAAACTTCATTAATTTGTAAGTAAAAGTGATAGTTAGCTTGCGGCCCATCTCGGCGCGGACCTCTTTTGAGGCTCCGCGTTTTAGCAACCTGTTTGCCAGAGGTGTTGCCGTTTCTTCAAATTTTGCAATTTTTTTCCATGACTTGATTTTTGAACAATTAAAAATAATGAGGGCGATCTAAAAAGGTAACTTGGCCCAGTCTAAATTAACCTGGCCCGGGCTATTTTAACCCGCCATTCAATTTTGCTGGAGGGCTAAGTTAGCCCGGGGCTAAGTCAAGTTAGCCTGGGCCAGGTTAGGCTTTTGGATCGCCCTCAATATTAAATAATAAAAACTTTTTGCAGCCGCTCGCACACTCTAATTCATTGATTTGCAATCTTCGTTACAATAAATTTTTATAGTTAATGAGGGCGATCCAAAAGCCTAACCTGGCACGAGCTAAGTTAACCCGCGAGCCAAGTCGACTTTTGGATCGCCCTCAATATATATTTAACAACTATATGTGTTATATTGCTTTTAAGCACATGCAGACGGTCACATTCAAATGAATAAGAAACATACATGCCAGTGGATACATAAATATATGAGGTTTAGTTTCAAGAAGTGTTTATTGGGTTCGAAATTAGGGCAACTATGCCCCATACATGAACTCATCCAAATAAATGCAAAACAAAAATTTTAAAACAAGAGAGAGAGAAAACATTAATATTGCTCAAAATATTGCTTTTTCAGTACTGATTTAAAAAAATTAACATTTTCGTTCAAACATAGATTTGATGGTAACTCATTCCAAAGCCTATAGCATTGAACTTGAAAACAGTTTTCCGGTACCTCCACACTAACAAACGGTGCGAGCAATTTCATTCGGTGCGCTCTCGTGCGCCCGAGCAAATTTACATCATACATTGTAGTAACGTAGTCGTTCAAGTACTCTGGACTATTTTTATACAAGATTTTGTGTGTCTGAACTAAAATTTTCAATTTATGCCTATCCGCGATTTTCAGTATTTCACATTTTTTATACGGTTTAGCCGCGATGAAAGGGTTCTTATAAGGGTTCTCTCAGTTTGGCCCACTTTTCGCGAATTTCGTTGGTTTTGATGCGCGTTTTTTGTTCAAAACTCTGATTAATATAATTTTTTTTCCAGTTTTAAGGGAATGGATTTGGACTTGCAAAATAGAAAAGGCAAAAATTTGGCGTCTCACCTCGAAATGCCATATTATGCTTTGAGTGCGTTTTGTTGCTCAGAGTGCTCAGCGACGCCAAAGCGGTCAAAGCTTTCGAGGCCAAAAACGTTGATCTCCAAATTTTATGGTGGCCGCGGCCAATAAAAGAGCGCGGCAGCGGCGCCAGCTGCGGGTCGAGCAGAACAAGTTTGGCAGAATTAAAATAAAACACACCAACTCCTGCTGGGGCCCTATGCAGCGCGGATTCCTTTTCTCCACTTTGGCCGTTTGGCCTTTGCCAAATTAAATCACGCGCGAGGGGATCTAGCGAAAAAGGTTGTGTTGATAATATTGTAATATATGGGACGCCTTTGTTTATTCCAGCCAAAGCAACCGGTCGGTTTGCAACGGACTCTAACTAAGACTGCTTGAAATTTAAATGTTGCGCGAAATTGCCGAAATTCCGTTATTTCTTTCGAGATAAGAAGATGAAAAATTGAGCTTAATATTAGCTCGTGTTCCGTGGATGAAATTTTATAAATATATTTTCATGCGTCAAACTTTTAAATAAAAAATTTAGAATTTCATATGAGGACACGCTTAAACTGCCGATCGAAATACAACATGGGTTGATAATTTTTTCAATGATAACCACCTGTCCATAGATCATCCCCATGAGTTTAAAAAAAAAATCCCAAAAATTATTTTCGAATTTTTAGATTTTTTTTTCAAAAGACTCAAAAATCGAGTTTTTTATTTTTCTATGGGAGATTAAAACTTCTAAACAGCTATTCAAGACACATTTTGCAAAGCCCGACAACTTTTCAATGGTTACCATACGTGTACAAACACGTTAAAGGTCACTTTCTGACCAATTTTGACTTTGACTGGAATTTTCGAAATGAACGCCCCCATCAATTTTTTTGCAAGTATAGGAAAAAATGTAGCCCCCATCTAATTTTGAATCGATGTGGTGTATTTCCAAAAATATATTGTTTTTTGGTTTTTCTTTAATAGAAATGCGAACATACATTATTAGGTTTTGTGCGTTTCAAGCGCTGAAAATACGCTCATGGTCGGAGTTGGTTTGTAACACTCAGGGTTACTTTTTGATTCAGATCCAATTGTGTGGGTTCTGCTTATCCAGTAGTTTAACTTAACTGCTCAGAATTAATTCTTAAAACCAGAAAAATGCACAAAAAGGTATTCTCAAATTAAAGCACTAAAATTGCAAAAGAAAAGAATAATTTTTTAATTTAAATATTCAACGGATTTTAATTGCAAAGCGAGTCAATGCAAAAATTATAAGGAATTTGTATTTGCAAATTAATTGTAATTGAACAGTGTGTGGTTAGTAGGTGGGGCTGACTGTGTGTATAATGCGTATTGTGACAAAAATATTAATTAAAAAAAAAAAAATAATATAAAAATATTCAAAATTTCACTTGACGAGTGTTCGGTTCGAAATCACTTAAACTCTCAAAATTCGGTACTCATGTAAGCTGGTGTCGAGTCGGTCTCGGTGAGGGGAGCGACCCCTGATGGTGTCGGTGCTTCGAAGGTTGGGCTGGTGTTTGTTCGGACCGCCGGTTGAGGGTTGTTCGGTGACCAGGGTGGCGATGGTGACTCGTGAGCACGAAGCGCTGCAATGGACGACAGCGCTCCATCCGCATACGACGCTGGCGGACAGCAGCTCTGCCGGGCCGGACTGTTGCGAAAATCAACGGCCCCACAGGGCACCTGGGTTGTGCAAAGAATTTGGTTTAGTCGACGCGCCCGATTCTCAAAATGAAACAAGGGATGGAATGGCCCAGATGGTCCATTCGGATTGTCACCCCATTTAAGAAAAAATTCCGAAAAGCAACTTACGTTGACTCTTCTCGCAGAATGCTCGGATCCTCCAATTGACGAGAGGAAGCGGCCAACCTGCTGCTTCACAGCAGAGGCCGGGTGGTGTTTTCACAACCACTGTTCGTGGGTGACTAAACCAAAACGGCACGAGGTCAAAGACCTTTACCTGGGAGTAACCTGTGTGCTCTTTATCAGTGCAGGTGGTGGGGGCACTGATTGGCGGCGTGTAAATGCACTTCTTTCTCTCTTCTCCGCACCGCGCACTCGACACTACTCACACGCAGAACAAAATGTGATGACGATAAATCAATTTATTTAATGAAAGTGTTTGTGTTTTTTGTGTGTTCAAGGGAAAGGATAAATTGAGAAGGGAATACTCAGTTTTAAACAATAATTCCAAATCAAAATTCCCAATTATTGTTACAGGTTTACTTTAATTTTAAAATAATTTTAACAAGAAATAATATACATTTCAATATTACCATATCGAATTAAAATTAGATGGGCTACAATTTTTTCTATAGCATCAAAAATATCGGAGGGGGCGTTCATTATGAAAATTTCGGTTAAAGTCAAAATTTGTCTAAAAATGGCCTTGAACGTGTTTTTACACGTTTGGTCACTATTGAAAACTTGTTGGAAAACTAAAAATACGTCTAGAAAAGATATATTTCAAAGTTAATTCTTAGCGCGAGAATTAATCGGACGATCGAACCAAATTCTGAGATTTCACTCCTCACTAGGAAACCCAAAATCTAACGTTTTTATTTATTCACCTTTAAATAAAAGAAAAACAAAAAATATCTGGAAATCACCATATCAATTCAAAAAAAGATGGGCTACATTTTCCCCATACCTGAAAAAAAATCGAAGCGGGCGTTCATTTCAAAAAATTTCAGTCAAAGTCAAAATTTGTCTGAAAGTGACCTTTAAAGTGTTTGTACACGTTTGGTCACCATTGGAAAGTTGTCAAGCGTTGCAAAATTTGTCTAGAGACGTTGTTTGGAAGTTTTATCTCCCATAGAAAAATCAAAAAGTCGATTTTTAAGTTTTTTTTTAAAAATTCTAAAAATTTGTAAAATTTTGGGATTTTTTTTAACCTCATGGGGGTGACCTATGGACAGGTGGTTATCATTGAAAAAATTATCAACCCATGTTGTATTTCGATCGGCGTTCTCGTATGAAATTCATTATAAATTCCACGTGAAAAAAATAAAAATCATTATTTAATACAAATATTTATGATTAATTTTTTCTTCTGTTAGTTTTGACAAAAAATATTAAAAATTAGCTCTGATTTTAAGAAAAGCTCTCTTATTCCATTGTTTGAAGACAAACTTTTGTCAGTATCGTCGCTTGGTTGAGTTGGTTGCCACAATTGTAGAATTTCGCGACCCTCAAATTTACCAAAGAACTAAAAATGGGGGACATTCACTACAGATATCCTCCCCGGCTAGCTATACTTATAACATAAGTATAGCTTATAGAAGATAAAAAAAATAGTATATTTCGAAGTGTTTCGAAGATACATTTGACTTCAGTCGAAAAGAGCTCCAAGTGACCTTCAACGTGCACCAACACGTTTAGCCATCTTTAAAAAGATGCCAGGCGTGGCAAATTGTCTCCTTAAATTTTGTTTCGTTGGTAAACATTTATCACAAAATAAGATTTACAGTTTTGAATAAAATCAATATATAAAAATGTTTTTTTGTTTCCCTGTGATTTTATCTGTATGTTTATAATTTTAGTAAAATTGCCTGCATTTTTATGCGTCCTCATATATTATGCAATTGCTGCAATTCCAGTATGATTGCTTTACTGTGTGATAAGGGTCGCCACGTTTTGTCTGAATATGGAATGTCAGAAAATTAAATGTCCGACAAAATTATTCGATGACCGAAATTATTTTGTCCGAATATGTTTTGTCCGAAAATTAAAAAACCACTTTCATGATGAAATATATCAGTTTTTATAATGTAAACTTATTGTCAAATGTTTTTTACATTACGATTTAGACGTCAGTGTTAGGAAGCGCAAAAATTGAGGAAGTCGCTGGAGGAGCTTGCCTTCTGCTCGTCGTAGCATCTGTTGTGAGTGCGGCTGCACTTTCTGCTGGATGGTAGTTTGCACACAAGTACATATAAAGCAGGCCAATGTGCAAAAATTTTAAGAGCGAAAGAATACTCTACAGAACTCCTTATATTCTACATAACTCCGATTCTGACATTCCCGTGTTGCATTCTGACATTTCAAGTTCGGACATTCCGGTTTCAGCTTATTCGGACATTCCGTATTCGGACAAAATGTGGGACCCCTGTGATTAATAGCATTTTAAACAATTTCGTGCTGATTTTTACATTGGTATTAATTCAAATTTATAGAAATCTAATTACAATCATGCATTTCAATTTTTTAATATTATCAATATTTGTATTTATTTTATAATTTTAACAATAATTGGGAATTTTGATTTGGAATTGTTGTTTAAAACTGAACATTCCTTTCTCAATTAATCCTTTCCCTTGAACACACAAAAACACAAACACTTTTAATAAAATAAATTTATTCGTCGTCAACATTTATTCTGCGTGTGAGAAATGTCGAGTGCGCGGTGCCGAGAAGAGAGAAAGAAGTGCATTTACACGGCCGCCAATCAGTGCCCCCACCACCTGCACCGATAAGGAGCACACAGGTTACTCCCAGGTAAAGGTCTTTGACCTCGTGCCGTTTTTGGTGTAGTCGCCCACGATCAGTGGTTGTGAAACCACCACCCGGCCTCTGCTGTGCCAGCAGCAGGTTGGTCGCTTCCTCTCGTCAATTGGAGGATACGAGCATTCTGCGAGAATTTTCAACGTGCCCTGTGGGGCCGTTGATTATCGCAACTTTCCGGCCCGGCAGAGCTGCCGTCCGCCAGCGTCGTTTGCGGATGGAGCGCTGTCGCCAATTGCAGCGCTTCGTGCTCACGAGTGACCACCATCACCCCGGTCACCAACCACCCTCAGCCGGCGGTCCGACCGAACACCAGATCGACCTTCGAAGCACCGACACCGTCAGGGGTCGCTCCCCTCGCCGAGACCATCTCGACACCCATCTCACGATGAGTACCTCTCGTTTGTGCATTTAAGTGAATTTGAACCGTCGAGTGAAATTTTGAATATTTTTTCTGAGTTGATAATTTTGTTACATTACACAATCTACACACAATTAGCCCACCTACTAACATAAACACAGTTTAATCACAATTAATTTGCAAATACAAATTTCTTATTATTTTAGCATTAACTCGCTTTGCAATTAAAATCCGTTTTGAAAAAAAATCTTTTCTTTTGCTATTTGAATTCTTTAATTTGAAATTTACCTTTTTTTTGCATTTTTTCTGAATTTGAGATTTTGGTTTCTGAGCATTTAATTTAAACTTCTTGATAAGCAGAACCCACAAATAGGATCTGAATCAAAAAGTAACCCTGAGTGTTACACGGAAAAATGTGGGAACCCTGTGATAATAACAACACAATTTCGTGCTGATTTTTACATTAGTATTAATTCAAATTTATAGAAATCTAGTTACAATCATACATTTCAATATTTTAATATTATTAATATTTGTATTTATTTTATAATTTTAATCCAGTATGTCTGCTTCATTTTTTAAACATTCTTTCGCGTCAAATAAACACTATCAGGAGGAGAAAAATGTTCATTTTTATTTCTTTTTTAAAAATTAATTTAATTGTTATTGTTTGTGAAATAAATATAAACTTGCCTTTGTGCTCGTTTGTAGTTATCAATTGCCTGCGGCCAAGGAAAAATATCTTTCTTTAAAGAAAAGGTTATGTGGTTTAGACAAACATATTTGAATGGGAGACAAAATTAAAATTATCCAAGGAATAAATTGGAGTTGCCTGGTTCTGGTAGAATGGGAATGTCTAAGGCCGCTAAACATGCATATTCAAGGCGATATTCGTTTTTCCCATCAAGAGAAAAAATAATTCTCGAAAATTCGTTTTCTTTAAATATAACGATATCAACTTCATTAATATCTATGGATAATACCACGAGAAAAAAATAAATTTATTATTAAAATGAAATTTCTTAGCTTTGGCTTTCTGTAGAATTTGGGTAGATTGTGCCAAAATTTAGCTCTGATTTTATTGAAGTAGAGAAAGCCTGCTCCTCGTTCCATTGTTTAAAGACAAACTTTTGTTGATTTCACTTTTCGCTTGACTCGCTCGGTTGCCAGAGTTCTAGAATTTCGTGGCACTCATATCAAATTACTAAAATTCGCTAAAAATTTTGGAATTTAAATCATGGATCACGCACTTGCATTGAAACGAAAACTCGTTTCAAAATCTGCTCTATAATTAAGAGTATATTTTTAATTTCTATCGTTAGCCTAAATTTTACATGATAAAATAATAGACTGATTTGAAGAGAAAGTAAAACAAAAAATGTGGCGATTACACAAAACTCACCAGGTCAGCATTAAGTGGAAACCGCAGCCATCGAGTTTTCTTTATGCTTGACAAATGCTAAGTTTTTGTGTAGCTACGGTGAGGCTAACAAGGAAATTGGGTGAAAACGATAAGTCATTAATATGTAAGAAAGTCTAAGGTTTTATACGGATTATGAACTTTTCAAAAAGTCTACATGTTCCCACACAAGGCAACCTAGTCACATTAAAATAAAAATACGAAGCATTAAAATTTAGCAATCTTACGAAAATAAAGCGCAAACTGAATAATTTTAGAAGAAATTTCTCCAATTTTCCAGATATTTTATATTTGGCATTGGTTTTCTAGCAAGATTTTGGGCACTTTTGTGAATCTTGAAGGGACTATTTTTGAGATTTCTAATAATAAGATTTTTTATCGATCGATTTAATTATAAGAATTATTTTATATCTTTAGATTTATATTTCATTTTATCTTATATAATTTGTCATGCTAAATTGAGATTTTTTTAGGTCAGGTCAAGACAAAGTCTTGTCGACCTGTGCCCTTTATTGGTGGTACAGAAGGCACCACCCAATTAATTTCTTTATTTTTTTTTTATTTTTGGGTTCAACTTTATTAAAAAATTATCATTTTTTGCTGGCATATCCTTATTTTGGGTCCACGCTATGATGACAAACAAAGCTGTAAAAAAAAAAAAAAGGGAAAATGTTAAGAAAGGATGTGGATTAGGTTGCGGTAGGGGAAGGTCAGATATTGATATTTTATTAGTGTTAAGGATTTTTGTATAATTTTTTGTTAAATTTAAAATTATATATTGAAAGGCAGTTTTATATTTCATTCCATTATACTCATGCGCGCGCTTTCCGCTCAGCAAGTAAGAAGAGAGAAGACCGTCCCATTCGCCGCACCCCCGAAAAACCATGCGCCCTATACTGGCTTATTTTGTTTCATATAAATTATATGTCACGTGACATATTTCTAGCTTTAAGTTCATCTCCTTATTGGCTTTAAATTAAAGTTAGGAGGAGTTTCTCTCCTGGAATTTCTCATTTATCATAAAACCCATTATCATGACAGAATTCGGTTATAATATTAAACCAAGACTGAAAGCATATTTTCGTGGGAAAAATAAAATGACATTGTCATCAACGGCAACTCATGATGATCACAGACAAAAATAATGCATATGCTTAGAAAGAAAACTTATTTGCGGTTGGAGGAAAGGGCTATCACCATAAAAAATTATGCTTTAATTTTGCTTTTTTTGTTATACAAAAAAAGAACATCAAAGACCTTTTTAAGGTGAATGAAAATTGCCATGACGTGTTTATTTTCACTATATTTTTATTTACAAAATTAGCAAATTTAACAATAAGTGGTTGTTGTCATTGTTGTTAAATTCTTCCTAAATCAAGTCTGAAGAGAAAAATTTACAATATGTGAAGAAACGACAGCACCACTGGGCAAACAAATTACTAAAACGCCAGGCCTGCAGAGAGGTCCGCGCAAAAATTGGCCGTAAGCTAAATTAACACTGTCGCAAAAAAAGATTGGCTAAAATTTGCTGGCGCACAAGATTTTTGCACAGGGATGTTTCCACACACATCATTTTGCATCGCTGGCGTATCATTTAAGTTGACATTAAACACACTTTTATGTACAGATTATATTTATAGCTCTCAACGAATAGTTTCCACTTTCCGGGAGATCGTATTTATCCTTTTGATATGAAACGAGCAAATTTTCATCAACGCATGTATGCAACTTTGGTATATTTGGAAACTCTCATAACTTCTTTAAAAATACAGAGATCGATTTTGTGTATTTCAAGTTGTTCAAAATCATATGCACTCCCATATTGACGAATATAAACTTCTATGCACGATGCACGAAGACATCACAGCAAATTTCTGATCACAAACAGTTGCTTCGCACGGGTAATTGAAAGTTGCAAAAGTCTCCCTACATATTCATACATCGCTATTTTATGTTTCTTAATCTTTAGATAATCCACGGGAAATAATTTCTGCAATGCAATGTTTTTTCGCTAGAATTATAACGATTTATAATCAGTGAATAAGTTGGCCATTTGTTTTTTAATACAACAATTTTCGCAACGAGGAAGAAGCCCAATCTATTCATTCCCATGATAATCTCCTCCAGTGTCAATTTCTTCAAACAAATTGGTACTCAAGTTTGCATAAAAGCTACATTTCCGCGCGCATACTTGACTATCGCTGCTTGGAAGTCTGTCTCTTGAGAGACCTGTAAGAATTTTGTCGTGTAACCACACGACACTCTTGAATTAATCAGCAAGTTCCATCCGAGCGCATCAAAATTTAACCAGAGCTGGTGACTGGCCCGGGATAGAACTCATTTGGGGTTAAATTTAATTAAGTTTCGGCTTACTATTGGGTTTCGGGGAATAATTGGCCTTTTATCTTCATTTGCTTATCTCTCAAGTTAACTTTTAAGTTTGACTAGTCTGAGTTTTGCTTTAATGCCTATTTCCTTCAGCTGATCATTAATCCCTGTTAATTTCTCTTAATTTACCTTTAAGTTTAGCTTTAATCTGAGATTATACTAGGCTTTAATTTAAGATCTTAATCTCAACACGTGGGGACACGTGTGGGCCAAAGTCACTTATTTTATTTTAAATCTCTCTTAATTAAGTCAAGTTAATTCTCTTATTTTAATTTACTCTATTTCTTAATTAATCTGGGTTGTTTAACTTCAATTACTACACAAAGGGTTTAAATTTAATAATAAGTGATAAGGTTATATTTTCTTAAATCTAACAAATTACACGTTTATAATTACTAATTATATTTAAATATCTTCTAATAATTAGGCCAGGTCAATTAAAATTACTTAGTTAAAATGAGAGAGTCTTTTAAAAGGGGGTTATTTGGGGCAGATTGAGAATTTACCGGAGTTGTGTTGCTAGTGTGGTTGAACAATATGGCGTTTTTAAAGCAAAAGTGATAAAGGTCTGAACGGCTTGAGTCCCCCAGGCTGTCTGACTTGTCCGTTGGGCACGCTAGGTAGGGACGCGGAAGTCAGTGGCGCCGCGGAAGTAGGCGCGCTCGAGAACTTTTTGAGATTGAGTTTTTCAGTTAAACGCGGCTTTTACAAATGTTCGGCGGGAATGGACTCTCTAAATTATTTTGATTTAAATTTGAAATGGCCTTTAATAAAATTACGCAGCGCTCGCGATGCAAATCTGCGGCGGTCAGACTCTCTCGGCCGAGCAGTCGGCCAGGTCAGGCGAGGTCAATGGCCGGCCCAAGGGAGGGTCACGTCAAATTTACACCCATCATTCAGAAAAATAAATACAGAATTGGCTCAGTTAGAGTACCATTAATTGTAATTCAATTAATTCTACCGATTTTTTTAAATTTCAAACCACGCACAATGTTTTTATTACCGAGTGGCTAAATTCACAGCTCAGTTAGAGAATCCATCTCTTTCACTCAGTAGAATCTACTCATTTCCACTGTTAAACGTGTGCGCTAGCTGAGCGGCCAGCTTGAATGATTCTTGTTTGACCAAAAGGATGAATTTCACCCAGCACAGGTATGTAAAATGAAACGCGGAGATACCCTGCCGAACTGTTTGCGTTGTTACACAGTAATTTTTTTTACTGCGTATTGCCAAGTAAAAAGTAGCTCTTTCAAGCAGGTAAAAGCAACAGAAAAGAGCGAGTTTAAATTAATTAAACAAAGCCTACTTGCCACTAAACATCGTCAAATCATTAAAAGCCGAAGAGATCAAGTATCCAATTGGCACGGCAAGCTTACCCTTACCTGATGAACTCAATACAAATTCATGGTAATTTGAATTTAAAATCTGCTTTTCCTCAATGGGCTTTTTTGAGTTTTTTTTATTGTTTCAGAAAAACAATATGCAGCCCGCAGCCGAAACATGTAGAGCAGGATATTGTTTTTCTGAAACAATAAACAACTCTCAAAAACAATGGAGGAAAAGCCGATTTTAAATTCAAATTACCATGAATTTGTATTGAGTTCATCAGGTAAGGGTAAGCTTGCCGTGCCAATTGTTTACACTTGATCTCTTCAGCTTGAAATTCGGATGATCAGAAGTGCTTCATTAGGCGTTCCAAATTACTGATATGTAAGTCAAATTTTCACCACATTGTATTCAAAAATTTATTCTATGTGACTTAGAATTAGTTATTGACAAAAATAATCTAAATTTAAAATAAAAAAATCTAAATGCTAGGTGAAATTCAACGAGTAATAGTCTAACAAATTCCAACTTACTGCTGCATAGTAAAAAGAACATAAATCTTGAACTGAGTGAGGCTAATCTAACTCATGAAAAAAGTAGGAATTTCTCTTAGTGCATGTTTCTAAAACGACTTTAGTTCTATTTTTAAATATTTGTACTTGTCTTCAGTTTCTGGAAGTGCATTATTTAGTTTAAGCGTAACATCTTTAATTCTTTTGATTAAGTCACCTTCTGCAATTAGTGTATTGCAATCTTGTTTGAGATAATTAAATAATTCGATGTAAACATTCACATCTTCACTCTCAAGAAGTGCTTTTTTGAAATCTGTAACAAGTTTATCAGTTTTTTCTTCACTAATTAGGGTGCCATATATTGCTTCAACAGCAAGATATAAGCGGAACATTTTGGTGTGGAAATATATTTCTGCAAGATAATCAAGGCTCTCATCATCATCAGCAGCGTTCTTCTTGAGGTAATGATTATTTAATAGACGTATTTCAAGTTCATCAATTTTTTTCTCTAATCCATTTAAATTTTTATCCAACAGCAATTTTGATATGCTATGAATATTTAAATGATCAGAATGAAATGCGTCTTTGTTATCATATATTACATCAATTAGTAATGTCAAATTTCGAGGATTGCTTAAAACATCACTAAATTTTTGATCAACCAGCTTTCGAAAAACATTTCGAACAATTGTTTTGTGCTCATCTTGACAGTCTATTTTCCCCTCTATATGTAAATCCAAAAGGTATTTTTGCCGTATTTCATCGAATGGCAGTATCTTAATATAGACAGCATTGTTAAGATCTTTGAAATATTTTTCATCCTGTGGCCGGATTGAAATAAATATTTTGGGTATTTTTGTTTCACTCATTGCTGTTTTGAAAAATTGTTGTATTTTCCCCCTTTTAATTTTGGTCAATTCATGAAACCCATCAAACAGTAATAATGATTCTCCAAAAATTGAATCGCCAGTATCACCTTTTTTTTTGTTCATCTTTTGTTCAAAAATGTCCGTAAAACTTTTAAACGGTGGTGACTTACTATCACTTTTTATCACCGACGTAAACGGGATTTCAAGCACTTCGTTGGATCGGAATTCAATTTTTAACTGGTTCAATAATTCTGTTTTTCCTGATCCAGCAAGCGCAGATATCACAATGAATCGATATTCATATTCACTTATATGTTGTGTTAATGATTGTAAATCTTTCTTTTCTTTCAGATCTTGCCCACATTGCACCGAGAACTTTGGATGGACATAACGCCTCCTGGGAGGAAAGTGAAAGTGTTCCTGCAAAGTTGAAATCAACGTGATCTGGAGGGTTTCCTCCGGAGTGTCAACAATGAGTAGATCTCCAAGGTATTCCTGCAAGCTTCTGCCATCCACTCTGGCGAACATTTGTAAAAGAATATCTCCTTTATTAGCATCTGAAATAATGCAATGTGTAAATATTTTGCTTTAAATCTACGAAGAAATACCTTTGATGACTAACGCTAGCCAATTGCTTTGCTTAGTATGCTGTGTCACTTTAGAAGAGTCTGATGATTTTGGAGTCTAAAATGCATGCTGATATGTAACAAAATATCAAATTTTAATACGATTGGATTTACTACGTTTATCCCCTGTGTTGTTACGAACGTATTGTTAATGAAGAATAATAGTATTGGACGCCCTTTCCAAATTTCAGAATGTATGCTGAGAAATTTCTGAATCCACTCGTGAATTGGCGTTTTCTCTGGTTTTCCATCAATGTAAATTCCATCATCAGAAATTTGAGCATAAATAAAAACTGCGAGACATCCGTAGCCATCAGTAAGATCTGGAAAAAAGTTTTGTCAAGACTTTACTATTCTGAATAAAAGTTTTATTAATTTAGAATAGAATTAATACCTAAAGGCTCTAAGAGCTTCAAATATTCATTTTCTGAGTGGATATCGTGTGTACGAACATCGTCGAAGCCATAATTGTAAAACTTTTCTCGAAGTTTCAGAAATTCTTGGTTATGGCAGCAAATTAACGCACGTTTTCGTGGTAGTTTGCCATCTTTGTTCTTCCAACTATTGGATTTTTCAAACAAATATCCATTTCCATGGGGTGAGCTACTTGAGCTGGTTTCAGCTACAGTTGCTGGAGTTGGTTCAGCATCCTGATTCCTATGGACCACACATAGGAATATAAAAACCATTTCAATGCCTTCGCCATATGATTGAACAAAAAAATAACAAAAATAATTTTGTTTGAAAAAGTTGCCACTCGAGGAGATGATCATGGATATGAATGAATCGGGCTTTTTGCTCGTTGCAGAAATAGTTTTTCTTCTTGTATTAGTCAGCGGGCAGCGCGTTTGCTCATGAAATATAGGGTCGCAGACCGTGACCGAAACAGGTAGAGCCAATTTGTTTTTGAATAAAAAACAATTTCTGCAACGAGGAAAAAGCCCGATTCATTCATTTCCAAAAATAATTTTATTTGCGGGATATTCACGGCTTCTTACTGTATAGGCATATGAATATCACCCTTTTATATTTTATGTATTTATCTCCCAGAAATCGAACTACCATTTAAATACCAAAATTATCGATGCGCTATACTCATATTATAGCAAAAATCTCTGCTGAAAGTGACATTGTAGTACTAATCACATTATTTTTCTATCAGTCGGTAGCCAAGAGTCATTAAAGCCACCTTATTCTAATATTTTTTTATGTGATGCAGCTTGCCTACTCTAGTGCCCCTGATGTCAATATCTTATTCTCATTTTATTCTCCTATCCTATTCCAAAAACATATTGAGGGCGATCCAAAAGGCTAACTTGGCCCAGGCTAAATTAACCTGGCCCGGCCTAATTTAATCCGCCATTCAATTTTGCAGGTGGGCTAAGTCAAGTTAGCCTGGGCCAGGTTAGGCTTTTGGATCGCCCTCATTATTAACTTAGCGCTTTATTTTTTTTTTAGCTACTTAAGTAACTTTATTATATTCTTCTAGCCACATTCCAAGAGAAATATTCCAGCAGGATTTAAGCTAATTTTTTTTTACCTTTATAGAAACTTTTTGCAGCGTAAAATTAATGTAGAAGAAACGTGATGACGCGCACATCAAATTGTTAAAGTGCGCGTGTGAAAGTGTGTAATATAAATTTAATTTTGGACACAGAAATTTTGAAGCTTTCAATTGTGGATAAATTAGTTTGATATATTCAATGTCAAGTAAGAAATTAAGTAATTAATAATTATAATTTTAAATTTTCACTAAACGTTTCTTGAAAATTGTGGAATTAATTGCGCTATTTTAAAAAAAGAGGTCTCTAAACTTAATTTAACCATACATACATATGTTGTTGACCGAACGCCATGAGTGGTCCGAATGCATTCGGACCAAGCGCTTTTAGACCGAATGCATTCGGACCAAAGAGTCTTGGTCCGAATGCATTCGGTCTAGACCGGACGCAAGCTCGCGTGAAAAACCCATCTCTCAGCGCGTTTGGACCAAAGTCTTGGTCCAGAAGCACGGTTTTACAAGTGCTACCAACTACTGCGCCACGCTATGTGATAAATACTAACATGCCGTTCACATTTGTAGGTGCTCAATATATTTTGAATTCCAAAATCATTGGGTCACTGCCTTATATAACATGTGGTGGCACACATACTCGCGAATAATGTCGAACCGAATAATAACTGTTGTATATTAAATGTCTCTGCGAATAAGGTTAGACATGGCCATAGCTTTTATATTGAGGAAACTTAACTTCATTCCGAGCAAGCCTCGCGCGCGCTTTTCCAAATCTCCCGCCGACCTTTCCCTGATGGCGCGGACCCTTCAGCCAACCTGAGAAGACCGATCGTCGCGCGCAACTTCAGGGCCCAATCAGACCCACGGTCGAGCCTCGAAGCCGGCTCTCCGTGCCTGAAAGCCTCAGACGAGCGACGCCCGAAACGCAGACAACACCCTGTCCTATTCCAACCCGTTTTGCCAATGGCGACCACGTTTTACTTAATTCCCAATCAATCGGTAATTATTGGTTTTCCTCTGTTTCCTCAGTCTTAGTAAGTTCAGACTAGCTTTTCCGAATCCTAATTTGGCCATATTATGTATTTTGTTCCTCTTATATTTAATAATAACTTTAACTTTAATTCTTAAATTTAATTAATTGCTTTTAATTATAAACTCAAACCTAGTCAAAACTAAAGTCATAATAAATTAAAGTAACTTTAGTCCAAGCCATTGAAGGAGTGCTTGGGCTATTTATTTAAAGGATTAAAGAGATATTAAGGGATAAGTTTGAAGTCACATGGGGGATGAAATGCACATGGGGCCAGAGGGACATCGAGAGAAGCCAATTAAATCTCAAACTCCAGTCTGCAAATTAAGGCGCCACTCGGCTCCAGCTCCGCTCTTCATTAGTTTTAAGTGTTCAATGATTAATACTATTTAGCCCCTGTCGTGGAGACACGACATAACAAAATGATTCAGTGTAGCATCTCATCAAAAGAGACTTAGAAAATTAAATAATGTTTTTTTTTACCAAGTGAAAAAATTTCACCTTGATCATTTGTGGCCGCTTGGGTAAATAATTAAACAATTTATTGAGTAAGCAGCAAGTAAACTTTTTCATTTTTAAAGTTTTCTAAGAGGTTTACTTACTTATTGATTTTGTTTTGGATCCAAAAATTCATAGCAAAATCAATTTTCTTGGCGGCTTGAGTAACAAAGAAAATCTTAAAAGAGTTGAAAAAATAATGGCTGCAAAAATGTAGAAAAACAAAAGTTTCTTTGTAAATCACTATGCCACAAAATTTTGTCATGGGATGACAAGTGAGATAATTCAAAGCAAAATCAATTTAATTGATAGCTGTGTTATAATAAAAGCCTTAAATTTTCACGAAATTTATCTGCTCTTTAGATTTGTATTTTTCACATAGCGCGGCGCAGCAGTTGGTAGCACTTGTCAAACAGTGCTTCTGGACCAAGACTTTGGTCCAAACGCGCTGGGAGATGGGTTTTTCACGCGAGCTTGCATCCGGTCTAGACCGAATGCATTCGGACAACTCATGGCGTTTGGTCAACAACACATATATCAGATTTAAATTCATGAATTTTAATTTTTAATAAAATAAAATAAAAAAGATAATGCAAGATTCAAGCATGGTTATATTATTCGGATATTAATTTTCCAACAGATGCTTTGCTTTGTTTGTTTGCATTGCAACTGCAGCTGAGTCGACGGAGAAAAATTTATTTTTTGTTGAAAAAACTGCAGTGTTGCCAAGCCACTTTCAGATTCTTTTGCTACGCGGCCAAATGGCAAATGGCCGATCTGATAATTACCCGTGGGGAAAATGGCCAGTGACCACTTTCCCCGTTGGAAAATGGCCGATGAGATTTTTTTTCAAGTATGTATAACAGGAGTTAAAAAAAATCCCAAAATTTTTTTGGGTGGTTTCACGATAGATTTTACTCAAATTGGCCAAAATATGACCGATCTTGATTTTCACATATGTTGTTGGGCTAGGTGAGAAAATACTCTCCGTAAAATTTCACTTGAAAATTTTGAGTACTTTTCCGGGAAATCAGATTTCCGAAAAAATGCGATAAGAAACAGAAAATGTTGAATATCTTTGCTTCTATTTAGAAATTAAGTATGCTCTTCTCAGTTCTAGACGTAACTTTTTATGCCCGAAAACTTTTCTTTTGACAACGTTTGTGTAGGTCAAAGGTCAAGGTCACTAAATTGCAAATTTCACTTTTTGACGCAATTTTCCCAAAGATGCACCCGTCAAATGTTTTCCGGGGTATAGGAAAAAATGTGGCCCCAAGTGTGTAGAACAAAATCCTTGATTTTCAAAATGGGGTTATTTTTTGTTTTTGAGATATTGTTAAATGAATTTTAAAAAGCAGTCAAAAATAGCTTTTCTGCATCGAAAAACAGTACTTTTTAAAATTCATTTATAAATATCTCAAAAACAAAAAATAACCCCATTTTGAAAATCAAGGTTTTTGTTCTACACACCTGGGGCTACATTTGTCCTATACCCCAAAAAAATATCTGAGGGGTGCATCTTTGAGAAAATTGCGTTAGAAAGTGAAATTTGCAATTTAGTGACCTCGACCTTTGACCTACACAAAAGTTGTCAACAGAAAAGTTGTCGGGCATAAAAAGTTACATCTAGAACCGAAAAGAGCATACTTAATTTCTAAAAAGAAACAAAGATATTCAACATTTTTTTTTTTTTTGGAAATTTGATTTCCCGGAAAAGCACCCAAAATTTTTAAGTGAAATTTTAGGGAGCACAGCGTCTTATCTACCCCAACAACATATGTGAAAATCGGGATGGGGTCCTTTCATGAAAAATTTTTGCCAATTGGAGTTAAATCTATCGTGAAACCACCCTTTTTAAAATTTTTTAGAACTTTTTTTTCAAAGAACACAAAATTTGAGTGAGATAAAAACATCTAAACAACTTTTCCAGACAAATTTTGCAACGCCCGACAACTTTTCAATGCTGACCAAACGTGTACAAACCCGTTTAAGGTCACTTTCAGACAAATTTTGACTTTGACTGAAATTTTGGAAATGAACGCCCTTGGATTTTTTTGCAGGTATGGGGAAAAATGTAGCTTATCTAATTTTGAATCGATGTGATGATTTCCAAAAATATTTAATTTTTTTTCCTTAATTAAAATGCAAATAAATAAAAACGTTATATTTTGGGTTTCCTAGTGAGGAGTGAAATTTTGGAATTTGATTCGATCGTCCGATTATTTCTCGCGCTAAAAATTAACTTGAAAATAACTCAACTAAAATTGACATATAAGATTAATTTCATACGAGGACGCGCTAAAACTGCCGATCGAAATACAAACATGGGTCGATAATTTTTTCAATGATACCCACCTGTCCATAGGTCACCCCCATGTGGTTAAAAAAAATTCAAAATTTTTTTTCGAATTTTAAGAACTTTTCCTAAAAAAACTCAAAAATCAAGTTTTTTATTTTTCTGTGGGAGATAAAAACTTCTAAGCTAGACAAATTTTGCAACGCTCGACAACTTTTCAATGGTGACCAAACGTGTATAAACACGTTTAAGGTCACTTTGAGACAAATTTTGACTTTGAATGAAATTTTCGAAATGAACGCCCCCTTCGATTTTTT